TAGTTTACAATTATTTTGCAGGATTTTCGCGTATTTCTTGACGGAGCAAAGAATGGAGCTATCGTAATATCGTTAGGAACAAATGTGAAATGGAAAGATGTCGGTCTAGATAAGATTAAAACCGTTATACTGGCTCTGTCGAAACTGAAGCAACGAGTGCTGTGGAAGCTAGATATTGAAGTGCCATTTGAGATACCGAACAATGTAATGGTTATAAAATGGATGCCGCAAAGCGAAATTTTATGTACGTTATTTCTAGGAAAATACGCACAGAAAAAAAGTCGTAAAATATGGATAACTAACATTTTTTGCAGTGCATGTATAGTTAATGAAATATTTGTATCAATGTGAGATTTTCTTCATGATAGTTGAAATTTACCATTTGTTCTAACATATTTGTTATATTTTCTATAATATATTTTAATGTATTTATTATAATATTTTTTTATGTTTAGCTCATAAAAATGTAAGAGCAATATGGACGCATGGTGGTCTTCTCAGTACGCAGGAAGCCATTTGGAAAGGTATACCAATGATCGTGATGCCTTTCTATATGGATCAAAAACCCAATGCAAAAATATTAGTAGCTAAAGGCGTTAGCATATACTTGGATATTAAAACTTTGTCCACGCAGTCCATATCACACGCAGCTGAAGAACTACTTTACAACAAAAGGTATCATATTTTGATCATGTTTTAATTATATTACTATTTAACTAGTTTAGCGATATAGGGATCTTTCTGCTGTGCACTGCATACAAGGTATATGCGGAAATTCTAAAGAACAGATTGAAGGAAGGAATGGAGAGAAAAGGAATGATACCTGACAGCCAAGCCGGCTTTAGGAAAAGGAGGTCTACGATGGACAACATATTTATCTTGAACCATATAGTGCAAAGGGAGAAGGAGAAAGGTATGGCAATTGGGAAAGACAAGATTTTTGCAATATTTGTGGATCTAAGGGCAGCATTCGACAACGTTGACAGCAGGATAAAAGAAATTTACAAAAAGACGGAGGTGACAATAAGAACAAAGGATGGGTTCACAAGGTGCTTCAAGACAAAGAACGGTGTAAGGCAGGGCTGTGTGATGAGTCCCGCTCTGTTCAATTTATACATTGCGGACATTGATAAAGCTTTAGAAAAGCGTGGCATAGGAAGAGTAGAGCTTGGAGGAGTGAGAGTGCAGGAGTGGTCATTAGCATACGCGGATGATATGGTTTTGGTAGCGAAAAATAGAGAGGCTTTACTAGATATGATGAGCATGTTAAAAAGATTTTTAAAAGAAAGGAAACTAGAATTAAGTACAGAAAAAACTAAAGTGTTGGTATTTAATAGTAAAGGTAAAAAAGGCAGGAAGACATGGAAATGGGGCGATAAAATAATAGAGGAAGTAGAAATGTTTAAATATCTGGGTTTCACGTTTATTAGGGGAGATAATTATGTCGATCATATAAAAGAACTGAAAAAGAAATGAAGGATCGCTGTAAATAGGATCTGGGATTTAGGAGAAAGATTATATGTAAAGATGATTTTAATAGGAGATGGACGCTTTTTAAGTATCTAGTGAAAAGTGTGATGGAATACGGAGTAGAGGTATGGGGGTGGAGTGAAAAAAAGGAGTTGGAAAAAGTCATGTTGGATTATGTAAGATGGGTATTTAAACTAGATTTTTGCACACCGAGGTATGTAATACTAAGGAAACTAGGATTAGAGAAACTATAAATTTGTTGGGGTATAAGAGCCATGAGGTACGAGAAAAGAAGCAGAGAGAAAAAAGACGGAAGTTTAGTATAAAGGCATGTTGGGATGAAAAGGACATAATGGATAAAAAGAAAAAGGATTTATATAATTTGGAACGAGAAAGATTTTATAATAACAATGGTTGGAGCTCTGAAGTAATAAAAGAATTAAATAATGAAGGTGAAAATACTGAAGGCTTAGTAAGAATAAGGGAACAGGACATTCAAGGGCAAATAATAAACAGTAAAATAGTAGAGGCAAGGTATAATACAAGGTACAAAGAGCTAGAAACAAGGAACAAAACACCGAGTTATTTATTAAAAGCGAACTTGGATAAAGTAAAAACAGGAGATGAGATTAGAGCGATGGTAAAATTAAGGTGCGGCAATTTAGAGGACACAAATAAATATTGGCTTGACAAGAAGATACGAAGTGTAGATTCTGCAAATCAGGTAGGGACAACTTAGAACATTATATAATAAACGAGTGCAACATCACAAGTATGTGGTTTGAGAATCTAGGTAGGAATAACAAAGAGATATTAGTGAACATATGCGATGACAAATTTAGAATGGAAAAAGGAAAAGTGTTAAATAGATTATGGAAAAGGAGAGAGGAATGCTATAAAAAAGATAGGATAATGGAAAAGAAAAAAGAGGAAGAGATAAGTTAGGAAGGAGCATGAGTAGGGACAGTAATGGAAACAGCTTTAGGTTGTAAATAATAATGTATAGCGGCGGATATCTTTGGCGGAAATATTTCTACAAAATTAAAAAAAAAATAAAAGTGTACTACAAAAAATTATAAATATAATTGCCAAAATCTATTAAATTCTATATGAATTTAAGAAGTACTACAAAATCCTAATGAAAATGCTAGATATGGAACATTTTTGTAAATTTTTATATTTTTTTAGTGCATCTTGATCTATAAATTTTTCGGTAAAACTACGCCAAACTACAACTAATATTGATATTAGTATATTCTACACATTTCTATATCTATTTGAGTACAGTAGACTACAAGGAAATACTAGAATTAAAACACTCTCTAATGAGGAAATTCACCCGACATAAAAAAAAATTATATTTATTTTGAAATTTTATTACTACTTTTTAACTAAATTTGTTTTTTAAGATGCAATCTATGATTATAAATATTTTCTTGTACTTGAAAAACACACTTACCTTGATGGGGTTCGAACTCGAGACCTCGGGACCTCTGGATCGTGAGCCAACCGTCTTACGTGGTAGACTACTTCTTAATTTGATGTAAGTGTTATATATAGTTTACATGTGTCATAACCAGCGCAAATATATAATTTTTCAAAAATTCTTAAGAAACAAATTCAGTTTAAAAAAAGTAATAAAATTTTGAATCGGATATACGAATATAATTTTTTCTTAATGTTGGGTAAATGTCAGAAACCAGTGCCGGTTCATTACAAAATAGGCCTATTGGGCCAATGTCGCGCTGCGCGATTACAAAAAGAAAAAACTTCTTTATTCTACCTTATCTGTAAAATAAAAAGCGAGTCATTATAAAAAAAACCTTACCCAGCACCACATACACACATGTCTAAAACCGCATAACCCGGGAAAAAAAATCTCTTATTTATTCATATTAGTTTATATTAGTTTATATTAGTTGATACATGATTATATATGTTCATATAAAAAATGGAAAATATAATCTTAAACAATATTATATGGCCATATATGAGAGTATATAATTATACATGGCCATATATTTAAGCATATATGATTATATACTTATATACTCGGGAAAAAATACCTCTTATTTGTTCATATTAGTAAATATATAATTATATATGGTCATATAGGAAATGGAAATATAATCTTGAACAATATTATATATGGCTAAATCTCTTTAAGTATAACTTTATATAGTCATATATGGTTTTATATACTAGTATATTATCATGTGTGATAGATAATCATATATGAATTATGAATATATACTTTATATATAATAAATCTATTCATATAAATTTGTATAACTGTTATAAATATTCTTCTAATAGTATATTATTTTACTTGACAATATCAAATTAATATAAAATATATTATTTTTAGTTTCAGTTTACACAATTGCGTTTTAAGTCCGACAAAGTCCATATTGGCACGCAGTGCCAATTTAAAAAACTGAAACATGTATTTAATAATAATTGATATTGTAAAATATTATTAAGCATCAAGATCCGCTTCGACCGAAAACGGCACTTCTCATTGCTTATATGTTATTTTAAGTTTTCTTTTTTTTCTAATTTTGCATAAGATACTTAATTTTTTTTATTGACATATTAATTTTTACTTTCCATGGAAAAATTGAAGGTTTGGTTGTAAGTCTGTTAATTTCCATGTAAAATTGTAGTATCTTATAAACATTTAAAAAAAGCAAATTTATGTAGATTTTCATGATTCATGAATTCACGAGTTGTAAAAAGCTTAAGAATTTTGTCGTTTTCTGTAGAACCTTGTAGTATTGTATACAAAATTACAACCATTCACGAATCAGAAATTTATATAGGTAAAAAATTGTACATTTATGTATTTTTCTATTGGACTTCACAACAGACTATACGAAAATAAAAACAAGTATTTTGATTTCTGCGAATTAAGAAGTTATTAATAATAGATGAATTTTGGAAGATTTGTGTAAAAACTTGTAACATTTAACTAAAAATTACAAATTTTAATTAGCCATAATTGTAATAGATTTTTAAGCTGTACAAACAAATCAGTATTTGTTACTATTCATACAAAATTGTAGTATTTTATGAGAAACTAAAAACTGGATTAGATTCTAATTTGTATAGTTTTACGATATGTAAATTGTAGTAGATTTCTATAGTCATTTATAAATAATTGTAGTATTCTACAAGTAAGCAGATGTTTTAATTTTTTTAGATTTTGTTTTTTCTTAAATTTTTAAAATTTGTAGATTTTTGTACTATTTTTTTATAAAATTGTAGTTTTTCATAAAATACTACTTGCAAAATTTCTTGATTTGAAAACATTGTAATTTGTGGTACTATTTCGTAAATATTTCTACAAAAAAATAACTATTTCTATAAAAAATTAAATATTTCAACAAAAATGTACAAATTTCTATTTCTAGTTAAATTTTGTAGTTATTCATAGAAATCTTTTTCGCTAGGGATGTAAGGAAGAAAGATGGATGATGTATGGATGGATGTGTGTTTTAAGTAAGAATTGTAAACCAAATTATTTCTTGGCATATAGCTGAAATAAAGACGTATATAACTAGTTTAGCGATATACTTACATTTCAATAATGTCTGAACACTAATGTTTACTTTTGTTAGTATAATCGGTTTACTAATTCCTATAGAAACAATTGCTTATAAAATAATAGATTACAAAATTTTGCTTTTCTGTTTATGTCTTGTCCTATTTGTCTTTTTAATGTAGATGCGGTCTTTAATTAAGAGTGTTCTAAAGAGTTAGTCTAAAATAATTTACAAAAAATTTTTTTTTTAATTTTTATTTGAAAAAAATAGTAGTAACAGTTATTTATAGTCACTACATCTACGTCTTTTACATTTTATTAGATGTTCCGTAACTATTTATATACATTTATTTGTCTTTGGATCCCCGGAGAATTAATGTCAAAGTTATTAATATTTCCTGCATACTTTTGGTTGGGACGGTACCTACGTCGAAATCATGATTTCGACGTTGATTAGACATCGATTCGATGGGATTCGATGGGTCATTTCTCGCTGGGTATAGAACATCCTTAAAATAAAATTTTTGTATTACATCATTAATAGTAAAACATTTGTTTGTACAGTTATACAAGAAACATGAAGCAATTATCCAGCGAATTCCGGGATCGGCCAATATCGCCATTAGATTTAGCTGTTTGGAGCATTGAATACACAGCCCGCCATCCAAATGGAACTTTAGTAACGCCGCTGAGATCTCAGAGCTGCCATGGGTGGAACAAAATCTGATCGATGTCTACTCATTTTTGTTCCTTAATTTCTTTATAATAGTGTTGAGTATATTCTTTGTAATAAAGTTATTGATTAATTCTTATAATCATATATACACCACATCTAAATTATGCAAGAGCAAACAAGCGTAAAGGTCAATCCAGACAAACTTGCATAGGTGTATAAGTATAATATATATGCATAAGAAGGTGGATTGGTCTATTTCCTTATGCACATGTATACGGATCAATCAATATTCTCATATGCTTATGTTTATGCACTATATGCAAGTTTGTCTGGATCGACTTTAAGTCGTAGAAATATTTAACAGT